GGATTTCAGCCCAATAAGAACCCTTAATGGGCTTTTCCTCCTTTGAGGCCCACTAGGGAAGTCCAAAACAACAATGAGAAGTCCCAACATAAAAATCGCGCGTTTTATCCTTCAATGAATCGATTCTTTAATTTTTGCTCTTTTAACAAGTATGTTCTAATTGGACGTAAATTCCATACAAGTTGAGTCGTGTTCAGATATAATTTTTAGAATATTATGATATTAAAATATAAATTTATGTACAACGAAAACATTAGATATTTGTTACGAGGGGCACGAATTAAAGACCGGGACCAATCCAAAATATTGCAAAAGGCCTAAAATCTTAGGACTAATAATTATTTTTTCTTTCTCTTATATACAATTATTATGTTCTTTGGACCACCAAACCAAGTTTTTATGTTAGCTGATAATTTAATATTAATAATACATATTGATAGATGATCATGATTTAGTAATAATAATAATTATGTACTTGTTGATTTTAATATATAATTCAAACGTGTTGATGAATTTTTTTGATACAACTAGTTATTAATTAATCTAAATAATTGATAAATATTATTTGAATACACTTGACACATGGTGTGTCCATTACCTACTAAGCCATGTTGTAATGACTAAATAAATCATTAATAATGTGCATGGTGTCTTCAATGATCAATGAAGGGGATTGTAAATAATAGGATATCATGTCTAATTTTTTAATTAAAGCGAAAATACTAAATAATTTTACGTCCTTACATCTTGAATTTGCAGAAAGACGAAATATATATCGGTTTTATCTCATCTCAAGGAGATAAAAGGTTGTTTACTTCCAATTCAGATAACGCATATTAAAATATGAAAAGAGATATAACAAGTACATATGATAAAAAAACACAAACCAACAACATAAATCGCAGACACGATATTATAGACATAAAGAACAAGGCGTCAAATTATCATCAAACCTAACATTTTGAATATGAAACGATGTTATCATTCGTCAAAAAGTCTTAGTAATCAAAACTACTCGATTTTCGAAAAAGGGCAATACGTGCCTCATAAAATCAGCTTAGATGCGTGAAAGCTGACTCGAAGAACAAGGGGC